AGTTTCAGCCTGTGCCTACTCCTGACCTTCCTCTCCTGACTGCCTACCCAGGTAGAATTTGAACTTGCTCAACCAGTTCACATAAGTACATACACCAATTTCTCATTACAAACCCACATCTACATACATATACACATACAATGAAAATCTCTGAACCTTAACAAGCACATGTGCACATTTGCCCACAACTCTTGCCTTCTATAGACCTATTTTACTTCTACTACACACTCCATTTAGTGTCCTTGGACTAGGTGCAGAAAAGTTTTAAATAATGGCTAAATAATGTTTTAATCAGGCTGCTCTAACTAAAATATCAGGCTGGCTTATAAACAGTAGAAATATATTATTTCTCAGAGTTTATTATCTGGGAGCTCTGAGACCAGGGTGTCAGCAGGTCTGGGTTCTAGGGAGGGACTTGTCTCTGGTTCATAGATGGTGTCTTCTTGCCATGCGCTCATGTAATGGCAAAGGGCAAGGCAACTATATGGGCATCTTTATGAGGGTACTAATCCCATTCATGAGGGTTCTGCCTCTCGACCTAATCACCTGCAGCCCTCCGATATTGGATAAAAGGGTTTAATACGTGAATTTGGGGTAGGGGGATCACAGCAAACAATTTTCTTTTTGCTTGTTCCCACTACTTTGGAGTTGATGGCTGCTTTAGGGACCTATTCCTTCCCTATGCTGCCTGCCCTGACTGTACTGTGCTGGAGTGCATCTGCCCTTTCACACGTTTTCAGCAAGTCTTCAAAGAGTCTCTCAGCTCAGGTTTCGGCTTCTCCATGACCACTAGCATCAGTCTCAAGAAGAAACCATGCTTATTTCCTCTCCAGTCAAAGACTGACTCTTTTATTCCCAGTAGTTGTTCTTTGCTCATGACACCAAATTATTCTGTAATCTAAAGGTTAACTAAAAACTTTAATATTCTGCATAACCTTCCATTAGACCCTATCCTAAGGAAATGGTCATGGTTGTGTTTAAATCACAGTTTCAGCATTAATCACAAGAACAAAATATAAATAAACATAATAAAACAATAAATGAATTTAACAAATGTAATATACCTATACAATTTGATATTCTTTAACACCATAAAATAAAGTAGTAGAAAATTCAACAAAGTTGAATATATAGTTATGTTTTTGTAAATAAATAAACATAAATGAACAGAAAAAGGACTCAAGATAAAAGCTCAAATTTAATATTTCTGGTAGCTGGATTATCAGGGTTTTTTTTACTTTCTTTTTTCCCGTCATAAGTATTTTTAAGGTTACTACAGTGAGCATGTATTGGTAGTATAAGCAAAATCCTCATGACTTTTGTGGTGGTATTTAACAACCTGGCCTAGAGCAGGAATTTTTCACTACCCCTCCTCATCACCCCTCCCCACCTTGAGAAAGGGTATATAGTTCAGGCTGCCTTATACTCACTATGTAGCCCAGGCTGGCCTCAAACTTACCGCAATCCTCCTGCTTTAGCCTCCTGAGTGCTGGGATTATAGGCGTGCACCACTATGCCCAGCTTCACTACCTCTTAATAAGATCCCTACATGGATCACGAGAGGAATGTCTACAAAAGCTGTGCATCTGCTAAGATGTGCAACTGTGTTCTGTGTTTGTACACTGGTGACAGGAAGCATGAGGGTGCACAGCACTCAGCCATTCCTCAAGAGAGTCAAGATCCAAAAAGTCACCAGTCCAGAATCTTGCTTGATCTTATCCCAATTTCTCCTATTTTTGGAGTGGAGCATAATTCGGTGGATTGAAGGACAGATAATTTGGAACAGGAATTTCTAGTCTCAGTTCAGGTATTCTGTACCTGAAAATATTTTAAAATCTCAAAATAAAATCCCCCTGCCCAACTGTCGGGAGCAATGCTACATAATTTTAGGGAAAAACAATTTGATTAGGCCTAGTTCTACTGCCTACAGGCCAGCTATGGCATTTTGAGACATAATTCCATTTTGAACCCCGGTCACAACTGAGACCTCAATGATCCGGTGATGCTGTGATTCTCCAGGACAAGATTACACTAGCTGAAGACATCCGCGGAGGAACATCTTCATCTACTCAGTTCCTCATTGTTCTTGGATTGTTACACCTTGTTTATCCCAATGTACTGAACTCTCTGCAAGTCATTTGTTACATCTGTTTCTCCTGATGTACTGAATAAAAGGTGCAATAAGCTGGTGCAATAAGCTGGGGGCTTTCATCTTTGGCAGCACTGATCAGGCCGAAAGCTCAGCTTCTTCTCAAAGTCTCATTTTTTCTACCTTTCCTGTATAAGTTAATTTGCCTTGTGCTGCTGTGGCTCGCAGGAGACTAGGACTTACTGCAGAGGTCCCCTTTCCCTGTTCCCTACATCCAATAATGAAGCAAAAACAGATAAAACTTTTTTTTTTTTTTTTGTACTGGGGATTGAACTCGGGTCGGTGAAACCACTGAGCTAAATCCCCAGCCCCAGATAAAACTTTTGGAAGAGTATCTTGCGAATATTGCTAAGTTTTTCTAAGTAGGAATTATATTTTAGAATTATTTTGATGCTGGACACAGATCTCCTCATGTTCCCCTCCCTCAATGATGACAATGTGATAAACACTGCTCAAGGCCACAGTCAAATTCTGGGGTGCACCAGTCTCTGTTCTGATCCACTCTGCAATAAGAGAATAATTCAAAGAGAATTCTACTCAAGGGAGCAGTCAAATGCCATGTTTCATTAAATATGTGGCATCTGAAAGGAGACTGGATGATATATCACTGTAACTGGATTAAAAGCTCTAGTTTATATTCCTTGTAATCTTAACATTGTACCTGTCCCTATCCACTTTGTGTTGCTATAACAGAATGCCACAGCCTGAGTCATTTATACACAACAGACACTCATCTGTCTGCAGTTCTAGAGGCTGGTAAATCCAGACCAAGGCACTAGAGTCTGCTCAGGGCCTTTTGTTGTGTCATAAGAGGCACAGGGCTTCACATGGGGGAGAAAGAACCCACTCCCGAGACAGTCTCCAGAGTCCCTATAAACTAATCACCCCTAAAAGTCTCACTTCTCAACAGTGTGGCACTGAAGATTAAGTTTTAAAGAATAGTACCTAAACTTCTTATATAGAAGAAAACAGTGATTTATTTCCTCTTCAAACATTATAGCCTTTAAAATCTAATGCTCCACAAGTGCTGGCAAGTCAATTTTACTTACATTATGACTACTTCCAAATACTGATTCCATGCAGAGGTAAACAAATACATACACAAGTTCTCTCTGCTCTTCTATCCCCAAATCCATGATCTCTGTGAGAATACAATCTCTAGAAAAAATCTGTTACTTTTAAATTTTGGTGCCAATGACTCTACCATGGTTCTGTACAATTGATATATTTGATTATTCTAGGTTTGAAAGTATAGATAATTTAAAGTTGGGTGTGGTGGCAGCATGCCTGCAATCTCAGCCCTCAGGAGGCTGAGGTGGAAAGACTGCAGGGAGTGAGTTCAAGGAAAACCTGGGCTATGAAGTGAGATCCTGTCTCAACTTCTCTCCTCCTAAAGAATCATAAGCAACTTAAAGTTAACATGTATACAACTTTGACAGTATTAAAGAAAACAAAATTTCTATCTATCAAATCAGGATATAAAAACAGACAATCAAAATCTGAGGAGATGGCAGTGAAAAGTGTAACTATCTTTCTAGTAGGCAAAAAAGCAATTTGATGTTCATGAACACTTTAAAAAATGTCCAGACTCTTTTGCTCAGTAATTTTACTTCTGGAAATCTAGTTTGAGGAAACAATCCAACATCTACCTACCTATCAATCTCCAAATTAATGAAAAAACTTCAGTCTTCATGCATAATGTCCACTACAGCAACAGCTTAAAGAAAAAAGAATCTATATGCCCAAGGATAGCAAGGTATTTAAATAAACTCACAAGAATGTTATATGGCACATAAAATTTCATTTAGGATGTTTCTTTTTCCTCTTTCTTTTTTTTTTTTTTTTTGAGACAAGGTCTCACTATATAGTTCAGGCTGGCCTCAAACTCACAGGGATCCTCCTGCCTCAGCCTTTCAAGTGCTGGGATTACAGGTGTGCACCACCCCATGTGGCTAGGACAAGTTTATAACAGAGAATTACTTACGTTCATGAGGGAAAAAGAGGTAAAACTGCACAGACTAATCACATCTTAGTAAAACACTACCACATGCATACAACATTTATAACCCAAATCAAAACTTCAGTGATTCTCTATTAGAGTCTAACCAGTGGTGCTGTACAGAGAGCTTCCTTCTGTCCCTTTAAAAATTCTCCTAAACTGCTTACTCACCAGAGTGGCTTTGTTCTAACAGCTGTATCGTTTATAATGCTCTCCTCATCCACCTGCTAAACTGGATAGGAGCCCAGTAGAATAAAAACATGTTTTTTGCTGAATAACTAAGATGTGTGAAACCTGAGTCCCTGATAGAACATGGTCTGAGGAAGCAATTCTGCTCTTGGACCAGGTCTGTCTGGAGCATTTGCTTTTGTTTGCTATTCTGGGTTGGGGATAATATCATTTAGTGATGCATAAAAGCTTGCATTTTATTTATTTATATGGCATTTTTATTTTTTGAGACAGGTTCACTCTGTGTTGTCTAGGTAAGGCTCAAAATCAAAATCTTTCCGTCTCAGCCTCAGCTGCCTGAGTTGCTGGATTACAAATGTGCACCAGTGGACCTGGCTAAGCTTGTAGTTTAACAGGATAGGCATCAAGCAAATAGCTTATGAAGTTTGAAGATAAGAGCCTTGAAATACCCATGTGGGTATTTTGCAAATTTTAGAAATTAATATTATTATATTAGACTCAAATAGATACCTGTTTACCAGTTTTGAATGACATTCAACATCATGTTTTCCTGATAACGTGTACCTTTTTTCACAGAAAACACAGGCAAAAGGTATGACAAATGCATGTAAAACTACTTGTAATCATTTAATGGGAAAATATAGTGTAAAAGTTTTAACTTACTGTTCATGGAAATCCAGCATTGGTGGCTCAAATCGTATGGGCCTGCAATTACCCCGGTATAGAGATATACTGCATGTAAAAAGAAAAGAGTATAAGAAGCAGTTCTTCAAAGTATACATTTTCTCCCACTGTAGTCAGACACTTGTCATAAGAAAGTATCTTTAAGAAAACTGAGGTCTAGTGTTCTGTTAAGAATGTGCAATAGTTCCCCCCGACCCCAGAGGAAACCAGTAAATGTTGTACTTTAAAAAATGGTAAAAAAAATAATTTTTATTCAAAGGTATGTATAAACAAAATGTTCACGGAGATTTTCAGAATTTATTTGGTTGATACAGTAAGTAACAATATACTTTAATGTGACTGACTTGGATTTTTGAAAGATGTGAAAATAAAATGCTCAGGTAGACTTAGAATTTATTTGGTTGATATAATAAGCAACAATATACTTTAATTCACTTGATTTTTGAAACATATGATGAATAATAAATAGTGAATATAATTACAGATACTGGGTAGGCAATATATGAAGACAAAAATCACAATCACATTGTAACTACAATGCCAAAGGATTAAACAAAAATGAAATTTAGGATAGAAATTTCCAAGAACTGAAACATTTAAGAGTTTGGAACACACTGATCTATGATATTTTGATCTAAATATCTGAATACCACTTCTAATAGCTCACTTGATACTAGAACTTCTCAATAAAACAGGTTTCTGAATAGCAAGTCTTAGCCATTACCATGATGTAACACTGATATAAAGTACAAATAGTCTTTGGGGATAGCAGGAACTCACCTATGTTCATCTATATGCTGGGAAATTAGAAATCCAGTCAGTTTTAAAGTTTCAAAATAGTAGATTCTGAGCTTTTTGTTTCAAGAAGTGATATCAGGGAAAAATTCATGTGTGGACTACTTTGTTGCCATCACTGCCACAATTCAAAAGAACATAAGCTTCCTAATGATATTAATTTCATTCAGAAGATATAGGAAATATATTAGAAATAGACAAGGATATTCACAATATATGGGAAATTTACTTTTAATTCAATTCTATAAAGATTAAACAGTCTAAGTCGTGGAATAACTGGGCTAAAAGCAATAAATTCCAAACATGTTTTTAGCTCTACCGATTTAGAGTATTTCTCTGTACTTACTGCTTGATAAGCCCCCTTTCTACATATGTTGAACACAACAGACGAAAACCACAGAAAAAGAAAATATTAAATGTAAGATTTTCCCAAAACACCAAACTAAACAGCAGATAAGAAGGCACAGTTCCTCACAACACACCTTCCAGATATAGCTGGAGGTACACAACCTTTTTTCCCCCTTGCTTTCTGTCCTTAGACATGATAGAACGAAGACACTCTTCACCTCCTTTAAACAAAAGATGCTGTGCAGTTTGTCTGTTTTAACAGTGTTACATTTATATAAAATCTTAAAATTGAATCAAGGAAAATAAAATGTAGTATATAATGTAATCATCTAAGTTATTTGCTCATATATATAAACATAGATTGTTAGATGCTGGAAGTACAAAGGAGATTAAGATAACTGTTTTTTCCTCTTGGAGAATCAAGAGTCCTTTCTGCAAGGGAACAGAGTACCAGAGAGAAGGAAGAGAAACAAGAGGAGGAGGAAGAGGGAGAGGATGAAGAAGAAGGAATTGAGGTTAGAGGACAGATCCCTTAATAGGAGTGTGGATTTTATTCTAGATGTAACAAACAGCCTCCATGGTATTTCGAGCAAAGAGGTAACATGATCTGACATTTAAAAGGTTAATTCTGGCTACTGTGTGAAAAACAGATTGTAGGAGCCCAGGGGTAGAAACAGGGAAATATTCGGGGGAATCCACCTAAGCGGTAAGGGTAGCTATGGGTTAGGTGACCACAAGGGAGGGTGGTGATCAGTGCTGCATTCTGAATATATTTGAAGTTGAACACAACAGGTTATGCTGATGGACTGATTTTGGACTATAAGAGATAAAGAGAGGAATCCAGGATGACTTAGATTTTGATGGATACACAACTGTGACATGGGAAGAGTGGGTTGGAAGTAGGGAGGGATAAATGGGAAGATGTACAATAGTATAGTTTTGGACATTTACATTTGAAGTGTCTAATCTAGATGGAGGTGCCATGTGGATAGCTAGAGTATACTTGGCTACTGCTTTTATACACAAGATTACTGTTTCATGTACTGTCACTTTAGAGGGTTTAATTCTAATAGTTTGTCTAGCTTCTCTTAAGATGTTTTCACTGTTCCTATATGTGCTGCTAAAATGTACACTAGCTTGGATGATCACTGAAAACAAATCACTCCTGAGTAACAATAATTCTACTTCTTTTTAAATTCTTAGAACTTGTTTTTCTTTTTTATGTCTTGGCCTCTTGTAAAATGCTCCACAGAAATGGTGCCCAGCAATTGTTACTCTGATATTTACAGATTGCTCACAGAATATGGAAAAGAGGAAATAATGCATAAAAGATGGTTCTCTCATAAATAAATACGTATTTTCAAAACAACAGCACATCTACATGTAAAGAACAGAGTAAGAACCTAAAAAATACTTAAGTGGGTCAACACAAGCTGAACAAAACCAAAAATGCAATACTCTAGCTGAATGGTGCTATGGTGTTTATGTAGCTCATGACACTGTTTAGTGTTTTATAAATAGAAAGCAAATGTTTACAACTGAATAATGGTGAAAAATAAATTGGGAAAAAATTTAAACTAGGTCTTCAAAACAGGAGGTTTATGTTCTGAGAATTTTTTTTTTTTGGTACCGGGGATCGAACTCAGGTCCTTGCGCTTGCACAGCAGGCGCCAGAACCACTGAGCTAAATCCCTGGCCCCGGAGGTTTATGTTCTACAGTTTGGTCATTCTTTGTAAAACTTGTTTGTGTTATTCTAGGTGCTGAACATTTCTATAAAAATTTGAAAGCCAACTTGTCACTTTCTACCAAATTGTCTGTTGAAATTTTAATTGAAATTGTACTTAATCTAAAATCCATCTGGGGAGAATGAATACCAGAACAATTTTCCAATCTATGAACACAGAATCTGTCTCAAAATATCTAGGACTTTAATTGCTGAGTAACATATAGTTTTCAGTATAGAGGTCTCAAAACTTTTTTGTAAAAACTAAAAGTACATGTTTTTGATGCTACTTGTATTAGCTTTTTGTTGCTGGGACCCAATACCTAACACACACAACTTAAAGATGTTGAAGTTATTTCTGATTACTACATATCTTTTGATGTTGCTGAATTCATTTACTGTTTCCCAGTAGGTATATCCCTCAGGATTTTATGTATATATCATGTCATTTGTATAGAAAACTCTTTTTTCCAATCTGATGCCTCTTATTTCTGTTACTACTCATGTAATTACTACTACATGCAGTACAATAATGAAGTGCCACTTTCCCAGTCTTAGAAGGCATTCAGTCTTAATCATCAAGCATCATGTTAGCTGTCATTTTTCCATGGATGCCCTTTATCAGGTTGGAGAAATTCTCTTCTATTTCTAGTTCGCTGAACATTTAAAATAGATGTTGAGTTTTTTCACATGCTATTTTCTACCTCTATTCAAATAGTTATGTAGGGATTTCCCCTTTATTTTGTTAACCAGAGAAAAGTATACTGATTGCCTCTCAAATGTTCATTAGTGTTTGCATTCCTGAGATAAAACTCTTTTGGTCATGATGTACTCTCCCTCTTACATATTTTCTAATTCAATTTGCTAAGATTTTGTTAAGGATTTCTAGATATATGTTCACAGTGATACAGTCTCTAGTTCTCTTGTAATGCCGGCAGTGGTTACCTTCTAAAATGTGTGGGGAAGGATAGCTTCTTTCTTTCTTTTCTGGAATATTCTGAAAACTAGTGTTATTTCTCTTGCAAGGTATGTGACAGGATTTACCAGTTAAGTTATATGGGTCTGCAGTTTTTGTTGCACAGGGGCTTAATACTATACACTATGTCTTTAACAGATACAAGGAAAATTTCTATTTTTTTAATTCTTTTTTTTGGTACCAGGGATCGAACTCAGGACCTTGAGACTATTTTCTAATTCTTCCTTGGTTTATTTTCATAGTTGCTATCTTTCAAGGAATTTGTTCATTTCACCTTATTGGAATAAAATGATTGATAATATTTCTCACTACTCTTTGAGTGTAAGATCAGAAGTGATGTCGTTTTCATCACTGATTTTTTTTTTGCATTTTCTTAACCAATCTAAGTTAAGGTTTATTCATTGTTTTATGCTTTACAGTCAGTCAGTTTTTATTACTGATGTTCTCTTATTTTTCCATTTTCTACTTAACTGATTTAAAAAATGTCCTGTATTTTTGTCTTGCTATTTAGTTTGAGGTTAAGTTGATGTTCTTTTCCTGTATTAGATGGAAACGTACATCACTGATTTTAAAATTTTTCTTCTTGTCTGAGATAGGATATAAATTTCCATCTAAGTATTGTTTTAAATTTCAGAAAACTTGATACGTTGTTCCATGAGGTGAATTGTGTGTTTACCCCCACCTCCCACCACCAAGCATATCCATATGCTGAAGTCCTGATCTCCAGTATGACTGCATTTGGAGAGAAGGCCCATGGAGGAGGTAATCAAGGTAGAATATAGTCTTGAGGATGGGGGGTCTTCACGCATACAAAGAGATGATGTGAGCAACAGTACGACAGCTGCTGCCTACAAGCCAACAAGAGAAGAGAAGCCTCCCTGGAAACAGACCATGTCGACCACCTAGGCCCACACTTCTGGCCTCCAGAGCTATAAGAAAACAAGTATCCTTTGTGTAAGCACTTGGTGTATGATATTTTGTTATGGTAGTCCAGCCCAAGCAGACTAGGACACGTATTTTTGTTTTAAAATTTTCCTTGTGGTTTCTTCTTTCACCCGTGAGTATTTTATTTGAAAGTTTCTGTTGTTTCCTATGTCGAGATTTTCCTTGTGACTTCTAATTTAATTCTGCAGTGATCAGAATATAATATGTAAAATCTGCTGCTAGGAGTGTAGTACTTAATAGCTATCAGGTCAAGATGATTC